AAAAAAAAAAAGAGTAGAAACATGTACCCAAACAAAGGTAGTTTTCACTTGCAGTATTTTATTCAACAAATAAAGCTGCATGAGCTATTCAACACTCACTTATAAAATCAGCTTTGTGTTTGATGGTTTTGTCCATGGCAGGTTAAGGTATATGTAAGTGTCCCCACATGTCTAGGGTGGCCTAGGTGAGCTGTGGTGCTCATAGGTTAGGTGTGTTGAATGTATATTTTTTTGTTTTTGCTTTTGTTTTTTGAGACAGGGTGTTGCTACATAATTCAGCCTGGCCCCAAACTCACGGCAATCCTCCTACTTCAGTCTCCCAAGTGCTGGGATTATAAGTGTGTGCCACCAAGCCCAGCTCAAGTGTAATTTTTAACTTACAGTTTTCGTATCCTATGATGGATTTATCAGAATATAAGGCCACCGTGAATCAAGGGCCTCTGCATAAGCAGGTGACTGTGTGCACTAGGGCACCTCGGGTAGAAGTCCTTCGGTTCTGCGTGGTCTCAGTGTGATCAGGGATGCGTGAGCTGTTGTGTGCTGCAGGGGTCATGTTCTCCACGTCCTACCATGTTGTCTGAGTCTGTCACTTCCTGCCTTTGACCCTGCAGGGGAGAACATGAGCCAGCACAACGGGAGCCAGAACTGCTCATTTGGCGACGTGGATGAGCTGATGAAGACCGTGCAGATGGCTGTCCACATCCCCACCTTCCTCCTGGGCCTGCTCCTCAACCTGCTGGCCATCCGAGGCTTCAGCAGCTTCCTGAAGAAGAGGTGGCCTGGCTACATGGCCACCTCCATCTACATGATCAACCTGGCTGTGTTCGACCTGCTGCTCGTGCTGTCCCTCCCATTCAAGATGGTCCTGTCGCACGTGCGGCCCCCATCGCCCGCCTTCTGCACACTGGTCGAGTGTCTGTACTTCATCAGCATGTACGGCAGCGTCTTCACCATCTGCTGCATCAGCCTGGACAGGTTCCTGGTCATCCAGTACCCCATGCTGGTCAGCCACCTCCGGTCCCCCACCAAGACCTTCGGGACCTGCTGCATCATCTGGCTGTTGGTGTGGGTCGGGAGCGTCCCTATCTACAGCTTCCACGCAAAGGTGGAGAAGTACAGGTGTTTCCATAACATGTCGGACGGCACCTGGAGCGCCAAGGTCTTCTTCCCCCTCGAGGTGTTCGGATTCCTCCTGCCCATAGCCATCATAGGCTTCTGCTCCGCCAGGAGCATCCACATCCTGCTGGGCCTTCGGGACCGCAGCCACAGGGCCTGCATCTGGAGCATCGCGGCCAGCCTGGCTGTCTTCGTGGTCTCCTTTCTCCCAGTCCACCTGGCTTTTTTCCTGCAGTTCCTGGTGAGGAATGGCTTCATTGTGGAGTGCAGAGCCCGGCGGGGCATCAGCCTGTTCTTGCAGCTGTCCATGTGTTTCTCCAATGTCAACTGCTGCCTGGACGTTTTCTGCTACTACTTTGTCATCAAAGAATTCCGTGCAGATATCATGGCCCGCCGCCTGTCCCGGGTCCAGCTGGTCCGACAGGACACCATGATTACCAGGGGCTAAGGGAGGGAGAAAAGCCCATTCCCATGTTCCTGAGAGACATCCTGTTCCAGCTGGTGTCCTTGCCCCTCAATGCTCACTGAATAAGACCTTCCACACTGTCTTGTCAGCTTGATGTACATTGCCCCACACCTGGGCCTTGGTGGGAACCTAAGGGCCATCAGATTCTCTGTTTCTAAGCCCAGACAAGTAGCAAGCAGAAGATCTGAAAAGAATGCATCTGAAAAAGGCTGTTTCTCCACTCTTCCATCCTTCTTTTTGATTAGAAGATTCTGGAAAGACAGAGAGAGGCGTTAGGGCAGTCCTGTGTGCTTTGGGCCTCAGAAAGGCTCAGGAGGAAGCCGTCCCTTCCCAGAACCTGAAGGACAAGTGGCTGTCTGGTCAGGGCAGCGAGAAGGACTGGGCATTTGTGGGTCAGCAGGGACAGAGTAGGAAGGTGTTAGTGATACCTTCAAGCCACCAGTGGCCAGGATGCCTCTGGAGGAAAGGAGACAGGGGCTGGAAGCAGACAGCCCCTCTCCCACTGCCACTGGGGTGTCTTCCATGGGGTGTCAGTGCTGGCCTGGGTGCCTATCTTGAACACACACAGCTTCCTGACTTGGACAGAGCAGGAAGTTGTTCCCTAGACCTAGCTTGAAGGTGGAGAGAAAGAATCCATCCTGTCTAGGCAGCTGGCACTGGTGGCCTTGACCAGGAAGGTGTCCTTCTCTCATGGGGGCCGGGGAGATGAGTGAGCTCGGGACAGACAGCAAGAGGTTTCAGCAATTCTCAGAGGGGCACTGTTCAGGGTCTGCTAAGGCTTCATGGAAGGGGTTACTTGACTGTCCTGGGGTGAAAGGATTCAAAGGATAAATTGCAGGGTGGTTTGCAAAGTGGGATGAGGAGAAATCCATGAGACAATGCAAACAGGGTTAAGGTCTTCGGGAAGAAAAGCAACCGAGACTGACCTGAGGATGAGAAGCTCGGCTAAGGGTCCTGAGGAGTGGGTGTGGGGATCTGCCTGGGGGTGAAGGAGGAGGAGGGGGGAAGAGGTTGAGAGATTGGTCAGCTGCCTGGCCAGGAAGCCACAAGGGCCAAGGTAACAGATGGGGTGGGCAGGAAGGGGCACGAAAGGGCCACTTCCTATCGGAATCCCTCCTGCTGAACTGAAGGCCAATGAGGAGCAGGGGCCTTCCAGCTGCCCCTTGTGGCGATGTTCAGTGGCGCTCTAGGAGGCTGGCAGGAGAGGTAAGGGAGAAGGTGGCACGGAAAGGTAAGGGTGGGTATGGAGGAGTTGCAGGTGCAGGACCAGAGCTCCAGGAACCGACAACCACAGCCAGGGCTCTGCAGACCTAAGAGCAAGGCCCAGCCAAGCCCACTACCTCAAGCTCAGATGTCCACAGCTCTCCTGGACACAGACTCCTGCCGTGTCACTCTGGGAAGGCCAGACTGTCACATAAACAGGGCACCAGGGATGGTTTGGGTGAGAGACTGTGGGCAGGTGGAGCTGGGCACCACTCTTTGTCTACTTGCTTTCTGCCTGGGGCAGGGATGGGAGCCTCTTTGGGGTGCTGTATGGTGTCTCCCATGTACACTGGAGCCTGCCACGTGCTTGGGCCTGGTGAGCTTCCTAAGAGCAAAGGCCCAGTGGTCCTGAGCGTTCACCCCGGGTGGGGTGGGAAGGGATTCTAGAGCCATGAGTTTGAAGATGTGAGAGGTTAGTCCTTGTGGGGGTTGAGCAGTTGAGCCAGATGTAGCGACCATGGACCCCGGGTAATCCTGGAGCAGTGTGGTCCCTTCTCCCCCTCCCCAAGGGGACTCCTGGCCTGAGGGCTGTGGGAGGGACACAGGTCCAGCATTACAGCTGTTTGTCTGCTCTAGTGGAAGGTCCAGACCCTGGGCCCAGGCAGCCACTGTGGGCCCACAGCCAGCAGCTAGCTCAGCAGTGCAGGAAAGGGTGGAAGGTGTTAGTGGCAGGGTTAGACTTGAGGTTGAGCTCATTTTGGAGGGCCCACCCTGCAGCAAACGCCAGCCAGTGGGATGGAGAAGCCAGAACCTAGTCATGGAAAGGGCTCAGATCCCTGCTTGCTAAATCCATGAGGGACTGAAGCTACTGTCTGATGTAAACGTGATCTAATTTCTATTCCCAGCCTGGAAAACCTGGAGACACATCTGTGGTGTGTGTACCCATGGAACCCATGCAATCAATGGAAAAACAATCCACTAATCTGCTCATTAAACAGATTTGTACAACACAGTGTGAGCTTGTCTTGGGCTAGCGTTCCAGCTCTGCAGAAGAGCTACCTTCACATGAGCCGGGCCTCCCAGGGCCCCGGACACTGAGTATGAAGCTACGGTGTGGCTGTCTCAGAGCAGCTCAGAGCTGAGCTTTCTTCTGGCCTCCCCCCAGGGGCATCTTTTAGTGGGGAAGCCTTGGCAGGTGTGACCTGCTGGCTTCTGGCCCAGGACACCCCTTTTTCTTGCAGCCCATCTCCCCCCATTCTGAACACAGTATAGCCATGTCCTGGCTGCCAGGGCTGAGTTGGGGCATCCTCCCTCCTCCACAGTCATATTCTGCTAACCCTCAAGGCGTTGACTGGTTCTCCGGGTCATCAGGGAGTAGGTGACATGGAGGCAGCCAGGCCATCTGCAGCGCTGCCTTTGTCAACCGTGTCTCCCGACACCTCCTCTGGGCACCCGCAGAGCTGAAAAAAAAAGTCTTTATCTTAGTGCCACGTAGCAGAAACGGGATACTAAGAACATCCCCGTGTAAGATTTCACCCTTGTCACAAGTCAGCAGTTATTGTAGAGATGCTTGAAATGAGAGGCCCAGTGGCAGTTGTAGAGACTCATGGGGATTAAAAAGGGATTGGCATAAGGATCTGTGGGGGGGAGCCTTGGGGGAGCTGTCTTTGGGGTGTGAGGGTAGTGCAGGAAGAGTGCCCCCAAGGCAGTTGCATGCACCCCCCCCCCACGACACTGCCCTCCGCATCTGCAAGAGGAGGCCATGCTGCCTGAGGCGACAGAGAGAACCCACTCTGACAAGCACAGTGACTTGGGCACCTGGATCAGTGCCACTTGGGGGGTGGGC